AAAAAATATCAAAAGAAAAAAATTGAGCAAAACTATTTAACAAAGTTACTGGAAACAACCTCCAAGTGATCAGTTAAGTAATTAATCATATACCAACATCACAGAATATTATGCACTATTTAAAAAGTAAAAATTGAGATAACTAAGGAGAGCATGAAAAACTGCTTATGAAATAACAGTGAGAAAAAGGAAACTTTGATTTATATGTTCACTATGATACAACTACCTGCCACTCACACAGAGAAATCTGAACGGGAAGGGAAAGTGGTGACTTTCTAGATTGGATCTTTTCCACTTTTTTTCTCTCTCTCTTTTTTTCTTCTTCTTCTTTTAAAAATGTTTAGCACTGAGTTTGAGTACTTGGAAAACAGTACTGAGAGGTATACAATAGGAGTGTTGAAACACTTGGGAATAAATAGCAAAATAGGCAGAAAAACTCCAGAAGGCAATTGTTAACTGCAGGTGCAATGTAGGGTTGCACAAGCAAGGAGGTACAGTCACCAAATCCTCCACTCAACAGCCAGTAACAGATCAAATGGAAAGACGGTTTGAAGGCTGTTGTCCTTTTCAAATCTGGCCTTTTAAGCCACTTGCACACATTGCTTAGATTAAAATAAAAGTGGATTGGCTGTGCCCATAGCTCAGTGGGTAGTGTGCCAGTCATACACACCGAGGCTGGTGGGTTTGAACACAGCCTGAGCCTGCTAACCAACAATGACAACTGCAAGCAAAAAATAGCTGGGTGTTGCGGCGGGCACCTGTAGTCCTGGCTACTTGGGAGGCTGAGGCAAGAGAATCACTTAAGCCCAAGAGTTTGAGGTTGCTGTGAGTTATGATGCCATAGCACTTCACCCAGGGCAATAGTTTGAGACTCTGTCTCAAAAATAAATAAATAAAATAAAGTAAAATAAAATAAAAGTGGATTTTAAAATTGTCTTTTACAATGTTTTAAAACTGATTTAACTACATAGGTCTTTAGATAAATATGGAGTATTTGCTAACAAGGTGACAGAATAATACCAGGAGAACAAAAGGAAAGTTATTCTTAATCTCTATCATAGGCTTCTCTTTGAAAGATTTCCCAACAACTGTACTATAGTCTTTTGAAAAATAAAAAATAAAAATAAATATTTTTCTTTGGATCCCCCCACCCCCGCTAACAAATGTTAGGCTTCTTTAAAGGAAGCATGTCAATACCTGAAATGAAAACAGACTAAGAGGCATTTTTAAAGTTCTACAATGAGACATTAAAGAAAGATTGTTCTGTAATTGTCCCTGAGTCACCAATGAAACGTAAGTTCTTGGAAACAGGTGCTATCCCTTGGTTAGTGGATAACTCCTGCCCAGGTACATACGTCAGATCAAGCTGAGGTATCACATAGAGAATTTCACAATACATGTTTGGGGATAGTGTGGGAATGAGACTAGCCAAAGAAATATAATTCTACATACTTACTGGTTGCTACTGACTTATAACCCAACCGACTAAATGGGAAAAGTTTAATTTACAAAGAAACATGCAAATTAAAATCAACTTATTATCTACAGAGCTGCCCAATTCTACGATACATTCAGTCCTTACTTAATGTTGTAGATAGGTTCTTGGAAGTTGTGACTTTAATTCAAATGACACACAGTTACTCCCTTCAATGTTTTGTTATAACATTGATGAAGGGAAAAAGTACTTTCATTATACATTATTTCCAAGATCCTACCAATGACATTAAGTGAGGACTTACACCATCAGTAATAATAATGACAAGTTTTTGCGAAAATGCATTTCAATGTACATGCGGATTGCAAGATGGACTCCAATTTTGGAATCATTCTAACTATGAAACAATGCGACTCAAAATTAAGGAAATGCAATGATAAAACATTTATTGGAAGGTCCCTCCAGGCAAGTAACTCCACCTAGAACTGTGCCATTCATTCATCAATCCACATGCTGAAGATACAGGGAAATGACTCAGGTGGAAGACGCATGGCCTGCTTCCTACAGTGAGCGGCACAAGTTCAGGGAACAAGACTTCGGGAAAACATTCAGAAGCATGGGACAGCAGGGGGCTGCGCCTGGTAAGCAGGGAAATATGCCACAACAGAACAGCCGCCAAAATGACCAGGGGGAGCATCTTTAGCTGTAGGCCACACAAAAATGAAGCTGTTACAATGCTATGGGCAGCGACTTCTCCAACACAGAGAATCTCCTCCCCTGTGATGCACCCGGGGCAGACAGCAGGTGCTGAGCCCAGAGCAGGCTCGGAACTGCTCACAAGAAATGGGCAAGGCTGCCTCTACACACAGACTCGCTCTGGATGGATACTGCCAGTCACCTGGGACTGAGATGGAGTAACTCGAATTTTCATTCAGTTCTCTGATCATGGCAATCACTGTAGTCCAACTGCCTGCCGTGGTTTAAAATTAAATGCGGTGTGTGTTTCCGTGTGTATGTAGGGAGTGGCCTCACTGACTTCATCTTCAGTGTCCACTGCAGTATAGCCTAGGCACTCTTGAGAGCCCTAATTACAATGTGAAATTGAGGGTTTATTTACCCTGCCTGGGTTTGATGATGGAAATAGTCAACTGCACATTCATAGGCCCTTCCTCTCATCCAGCAGTTCTCAATCTGTGGGTCGCGACCCACAGGAACTGTATTAAAGGGTCACAGCATTAGGAAGGTGGAGAACCACTGCTCGAGTCCCATGAAAAATGGAATGTATCCTCATTAGTAGAGTGGCAAGTAAAAAAATTAAAAAGATTAAACAAAATGGGACATGGAGAGCTGTTTACGTTTTAAAAAACAGTTCCGCAGAAGATGAGTCAGTAAGTGTCACTCATCTGACTTACCAGAGCAAGGAAAGCACAGCAAATGATCACTGAGGATAAAGTTAATCTCAATTCATAATGTCATTTCCTCAGCACAGGAAGTCCCTGGTTTTTATGATACACTGTTCTCCTAGAAACCACATCCATGGGTGACTGGGTTGCTATGAAGCAGACTGTGTGAACACGAAGTGACATTCACCTGTCAGACTGACCAAAATTCAAAAGATTGCTCTATCCAGTGTCGGTGAGGGCGGAAAACAGGAGTGGCTATAAAATTAGTACACAGCTTTTGGAAAAAGCAACATGGCAATGTAAAGCCTTTGAAAGTGCATACTTTTCAGAAATGACACCTCTAGATAAATACCTTAGAGAAGTATTTAGACATGTCCACAAAAAGAAATGCATAAGAACATTCACTACCTTAATATTGAGACTAAAAATTATCAATGACCTATTGGTCTCCTGATTCGGGGTAGGGCAAATAAACTGTAGCACATCTATTCTCTGGGATCCGACGTCCCCATTAAAAAGAATGAAGCAGTAAAAATAAATAAATAAATAGTAAAAATAAAAAGAATGAAGCAGAGCCGAGTTTATTAACCTGGAAAACTCTCTAAGGTATTTTCTAGGGGTACCCAGAGGAAAATAAGGTAGATGAATACTGTGTATAATTTTTAAAAATTAAGCCTAAACTCCCCCCAAAATCTGTTTTTATTTTATATACTTTTCTATACACCAGTGTTTTTCAACCTTTTTTTATCTCATAGCACACTTGAACCTATAGGTAAACTTCTGGGGCATATTTAAATTATGTTGATCAAAAAAAAAAAAAAGAGCAAAAAAAGAATATACTTACTGTTCTTCGAACTTCTTTCAACAACAATTTAATTCATGATTTTTAAAAATTCTCGTGGCACCCCTAAGATCCTCTTACAGAGCAGCGGCACACGGGTGAGAAATGGCTGCTGTTTACTTCCCTGTGTGTAAACGCATTCATGGGATCTAGGCTGAGACAGACCAATCACACGGAGGGGTCCCTGAGAGGAGACTTGGTGTGAGGTGTGATATTCAAGAGGCATGTGTGTTGTCTGCATGAATGAACTCTTTGAGGAATGAAATTTAAATATCTTTCTTTTCATTTATGCTTTTATTTTCCCACTTTTACTTTTTTCCTTTTTCTTGAAGTGTGGCAAACAGCCACCTGTTTAAGGGCACATGTGTCTCCGCCTGATCATCGACTCACATCTACATGGATGTTTTCTTTCATACCACCCCCTAGACCTGCCCACAAGGGCTAAGTCAGGGGTGGAACAATAAGCAAATTTGTGTTTTGGACAAATCTAAAAAATTGGAGTTGGTAAGGAATTGCTTTCTCTAAATACAGATCAGAAAAAGAAAAGATTGTATTTACAGCTTAATACTTTTCCCTATTTTCCAGCTGTGTATAATGATCACTTATTAACCATATGTATGAATGGTCTGTTTAGCCATCACAGCCCATTCCCAGCAGGTGACAAAGATGAGCATGCCTCGGGAGCTAACTGGGAAAAGGCTAAACCAGTGATGTCAACGGGGCTGAGTCTCAGGGACAGCTGGTGATGTCTGGAGACACCTTTGATTGCCACAAGGGAGAAGAGGTTGCTACTAGCACCTAAGGGGCAGAGACCAGGGATACTGCTGAATGTCCTCTGGTGCACAGGAAAGTCACTACCCAAAAGGACTTTCTGGCCCAAATGTCAAAAGTCGGGAAGTTGCAATCTCTAATCTAACTATACCATAAGTCACATATAACTGTTAATCTTTTACACTTACTTGTTTGCTTTGTTCCTTTGATATTTCATAGGAGGATGAGGGAGGGCCCAGGCTCATACCTGAACGATGAACTGGTAGAGCATGACCAGGCTGACCAGCATGCTGACGTTGGCCAGCAGGGAGAAGATGGACAGGGCTCGGAGGCTCCGGACAAAGACCAGCAGCACCAGGAAAGGCAGGAAGGAGAGCATGTAGAGCCGCGAGTCCATGGTGGGGGTCAGAATCACTGTCTCGTTGCTGTGACAGTTGTTGGTGGTCCCATTGGCTGCTTCTATCACCTAGAATGAGAGGAAAGAGGTAAAAGGAAAAGCCCCCCAGATGACACAGGCCGGTGGATCTCCCACGGGGGAAGACTCCTGAGTGAAGGCTCAGGTGTGTGAACAGGCCCCCTAGAAGTCTCCATCTTTGGAGGTCTTCATGACCATCAGCAATCCAACTGCCTGAGCTGCATGTGATCAGATTTATCTAAGACAGGGTCCGACAAGACATGGGGAGGTTTTTCTATGCCCTAGGTCTTTAGAAGAGAACCAAATAAAAGACACAGCTCTACATCAAATGTTAAAACCTTAACTCTTCTGTTGACGAAAACCACCTTAGAAAAAATCCTAAACAAAGATTTCATTCATCTTTTCCCATTCTCTCTCCCCCTCTTTCTTTAAACCGGGATCCTACCTGTTTAAAGTTGTCAGCCAGAAACACAAAATAGACACAGCAGAATCCCAGCTGAGTGACAATCAGGAAGAAGTCCACAATGTGCCTGGGGATGGGGAAGGAAGGAATCCAAAAATCATTACAGTACAAATGCAGGACTCTGAGAGGGACCAGTGTTTTAAATAGTGCTTTTCCCCAAGCCATCACAGACCATTCCCAGCAGGTGACAAAGAGGAGCATGCCTTGGTAAAAGGAGGAACTATCCTAGGTGCCACTGGTCTGGGGCTTTGGGAGGAAGGTCAACAGAGGTGCTAGCTGTGTGACTTCTGGGCCCCTTCTTACCTTCTTGTCTGGAATGTCATATGAGGTCAGAGCATCCTGGTGTGGAGGACTGACACCCTACCACTGCCCAGCCCCTTGGCATCCTCCCTGCCCACCTGCCCACCTATGTCACCTCACACCTTTTTCCTAGAGCTACCCAACCAATAGGATAGATCCTGTCACCCTCTCTTTCTACAACTTGGATCCAAAAACCAAGCTAATCTCACATAAGTACATACGAATGGATGTACCAAAACAGATTGCTAGTTGAACACTAACAGCTGATAGTAATCTAAAGGGTCATCAAAAGGAAAAATTATATTACAGACCATTCTTCCATGGGACTTGACACAGCCGTTAAAAAGAAATGTGTTAAATGTGTATGTGCTGACAGAGAAAAATGTCTAAGACATTTAAGGGAGAAAAGTTTCCCAATAACATACCTAGTGTGGTCGATTGAAGCAAAACTTTTTAAAAAGCATGTGTAGGTTTAAATACATACAGAAAATGCCAAAAGGATACCCATGCAACTGTGACCGATAAGTTCTTTAACTTTTCACTTTATGTCTTGTGCAACAAAATGCTTTTACTATGGGCACACATTGAAAAAGCACACATTTTACTAAAAGGAGGGAGAAATGGAAGGAAAGAGGGAGGAAGGAAGCAAGCTGAGAAGAGAGCAAAAAAAGAACTAACATAAACCACCCGACCTACGTCATTCACCAGGCAAATGTGGCTTCTCCCAGTCAGAAAATAATTTTGCTAGAGGGATTATATAATCTGTATCACTGGATGAGGCTATGAATGAAGGTGACAATTTCCTCTATAACCACAAAAAGGAACTTTTCTAGAGCACATAGTTTTCATGTGACTTAACTTAAAAAAAATAAGATTTAGTCCATGATACTATCAATTTCCTACATCTAAATAAAAGAAACAGAAGGTAGACTATTCCTCTCCGGGCATCTGAAACTCACCATAAGGAGAAATATCTAAACACTCCTACCCTGTCCTGCCTTCCCTCACCTCCTCCTCAGAGCCTTCCCTTCTCCTGTCTACTTCATGGGCTCCTCAGCCGGCACAGCCAGATCAGAGAATCCTTCAAGTCCCTCCACTCTGAGCCCCAAGGACGTGCTCCCAGCCCCTGCTACTCTCTTCTTGTGGGTGTCTACCGCCGCTCCCCTCCTCTTGTTCTGTGTACTCTCTTCCCACACATCTTTCTCCTTACACAAACTACGAGCTCCTGGAGGGTGAGGACCATGGAATTTACTGCAAAAAATCTCCCCTCCCTGGCTAGAACGGTTTTGTTCCACTTACAAGAGAGTGCTTAAATATATCTGTTGAAATGAGTGAATCAAATATAATCCCTGATCACAGACCGCCAAAGTTGAAATGGACCTTTGAGACCTTTCAGGCCAGGTCCCACGTTCTCCTGATGAGGAAACTGAGAACCAGGGAAGGGAGGAGTCACCCAGCTCAGGGTCACACACAGCTCACCACAAGCAGAAGGGAGCTAGCACCCACCCGAGCCCACTGACCCAAACAATACTCTCTCCACCCCTTATGCTATGCCCCCCTATCTGATGGTCTCCACACTGGGGCCAGGGCTGAAGGAAGGAGGAAAGCATTACCTTCCCCAGTGCGCATGGTTCCGGAGCCAGGAGCAGGGGCTGGATTCCAGTCCATACATCACGGTGTCCCCATAGTCCACAAAGGATTTGTTGAGTCTGGGGGAAGGGGCACCAGAGAAGAAGGGAAGAGTACGTGAGTTAGACCACAACAATGGCAGAGCAAATTCAGCCTCCAATGCCCCATCTGTCCCCTGCAGGTACTACTTCTGAGTCCTGTATCTGATGTTTTCAAAGATCAGAAGTGTTAAGCTCATGGGACTCTTTATAATGAACAATCATTTGGTAGAATCGTTTCAGTGTAGTAAATGGTATAAAACACATAAAATTAGAAGGTGGTGTCTTTCCACTGGACATAAGAAAATTTAACAGATGACAATGAGCCAGAAAAAGAACACAGGCAAAGGGTAAGGAAACGCTGCAACAGTGAGCAGCCACCTTCAGCTAAGGGAAACAACAGAGAAAAAGCTGCCTTCAGTGCTCACTTTCAAGATTATAACGGAAATCCAAGGACAGGCTGCCACTTGAGAGGTGGCGCAGAGGGCTCTCACCTGTGGCAGAAGTGGTGAGCACATTTCACCAGGATGGCCATGCAGTGCACGGCCACAATGCCGATCACCAGCAGGCTGAGGGGGCCCATCTGGGACAAGGGTTGCAGGCAGCAGGGGAGAGAGAAAAGCAGGCAGAATTAGGAGGGAGTCCAATCAAAACACGATTTGCAAATGACTAATATGCTGCTAAGGCGCTTTCCACTGACAGCTTCTCAGAAGAGAAATGTGAGCACGGAGGTAGGCTCTGTAAGATGGGTGCTATCTGGACTTCAGCACATCTTCGAGAGATTTAATCTCATGAAGAAGAAGGACCCGAGATAAGTCTGGTCTGAGACTGTGGTGAATCAGAATAGAAGGTTCTTGTGACTCTGTGGGTAAAAGAGATGGGCTAAGGGAAGTAGGGGGAATGGGGAGTTATAGTTGAGAAATGCCAGATCCAAAAAGACTGAACTTAGTTGAGGATAAGCCCCATCTCTGAGCTACCTCCAACTCTAAAAGAAACCAGAATGGCTTTGGACAGGCAGTGTGTAGGAGGTGAATCATAAAAAGAAGATGTAAGGTTCTCAGAGTTGACCATTTAGGGATGGGGTTGGAGGGCCTGTGTAGAACATGGACAGACGTCTGTTACTAACTCCTCAGTTCCTAGTATCAATAGAAACTGCTTGAGCCATTTTAAGTTCATCCTCTCTACCACTAAGTGAGCTCCACAAGGGCAGGAATCTTCGTTTAATTCCTGGATATATTCTATTCTCAGAGCCTAGAAAAGGTCTGGCACACAGAAGACCCTCAATAAATATCTTTAGATAGACGAACATCTAAATTTTGCTTTTTCTCAGCTGAATTTTAAAAAATGACTTAAACGAAGTCAAGTTTTAAAACAACAAAAATCTATGCCCTACACTTTGCCACAACAGTTCCCTGCACTGACGCAGACCCTTACCAAGATGCCTGCATTTTTCACCGCCAGAGGCAGCCCCAGGAGTCCGGTGCCAATGTTGCCTTTTAATAGGTGGATCAAGGTCTGGAACCATCTAAAATGGAAAGAAGACACAGGGAAACATTAACCATAATGACAGCCGACTTTAATTAAGCAGTTAACACTAAACTAAGTGATTACATGCATTATTTTATTTCATTTCCACAACTACCCTATAAGATTTTATTTTATGGATGATGAAGCAATTTGCTCAAGGAAACACACCTAATAAAGATCCGAGCCAGGATTCAAACCTTGGTCTGACCACAGAGCTCACTCTCTCACCCACAGATCTGTAAGCCAGCACTCTCTGTGACTCCTCTCAGACCCCCTGATCTCTCACAGATGGGACCCGAGGACCCAGGGTCTCTCTCCAGGCACTCCATCCTTTCCAGGGACATTTAGGCCTGGTTCTCGCCCCTGAGCTGACCCCTCTAAAGACTCATATCCAAAACTGCAACAGAAGATGACAAACCCAACTGTCAAGGACAAGCACAGGCGCAAGAACATAGGAGTCCCAAACCCTGTCACAGAAAGTTGTATGGAAAGTCAACAGAGTAAAAGTCCTATGATACCGTAAAAGCCAGAAGTCCTTGAAGCCCATGTTAAAAGAAAAAAAGCCCAATGCTATAGGGTCCTGGGATTGGAGAAACCCTTTCAGGTACCTGGTTTATCCTTTATGTCAGGGACAGACACTGTTCTCTTCATGCTGCAATTGTAAAGCCTCTCACATTTCTTCATTCATTTTGTTTTTCACTGAATAACTATCATCTCTTATGTATGGGACATTGTGGTGGAAATAAGTATGAAAAAGGCACAGAAGTTAATAATGTCCTGAGGAAAATAAGGGGACACAGAAAGATTCCTGTCTTTAAGAAAAACCCAGGAACAGAGCCCAGAAAGAAGGGAACTGGTGAGGCTTTGTGCAGAGGAGAGACACGGGCGCAGGCCAGCAGGGCAGACAGGGTTTGCAAATGTGCTGTTGGGGAAGAAGGCATCACTGGCAAAGGGAAGGGTCTGGGGACAAGACCCCAGAGAGACGTGTGGGGCATGAACCAGAAGGAGCAGTACTTGGGTTTAGTGGCCACTCAAGTGGGGGTGAGATTCAAAATGGAGGGGTACAGGAAATTCCACTTTTTTATACAGAGAGTAGAAATTCATCAGAGGACTGACAGCAGAGGGGTAAACTTGTCCTCAGTATTTTCCAACCTTTATTACCTCCAGTACGATAGGAAATGGGTTAAATACAGTGTTACTTTGCTCCAGATCACTCAGGATTTAGCCCCTGGAGCTGTCTGGAAATTCTCTGCATAAATCACCTGTGTAAATCAATCAAAAACTGATGCTTATACACATTTCTTCAAATCTGCCATTCAGTAAAAACTCAGAGAAACTGGTTACTCATAAGGGCCACTAGTAAGACACAGCTATACCCTCTGGAAAGGAATTTCACTTTAATCTTTTTTTCTCTTTGCATCTTCAAGAAGAAAATCTGTTGGTCTTCCTGCTGTCCTCAACCTTTTCATGGAAGATTAAGGGAACTACTTCCATGCTAAGCGGGAAGAGGTTAAGTGCTCTCCTGCCCATCCTGAGGATTTCCAGGGCCCATTATCAGTAGCAAGAGAAGATAACTGGACAGGATAATGGGCCTATTTAAGTTCTATCTTAGCAAATGTTTAATCCACTTAAGAGCAAAGGTAAGCAGTGTACAAACCCAATGCCTACCAGAGACATCCCCGTGGGAGACCAGGTCCCTCTGGCCTTAGCTCTGCCATGGCCTCCAGATGACAATTCCCTCCCTCCCTTCTCTGGCCCTGTTGTTTCCTCTGTAAAGATGTCTCCATGGTGCCTTCAGCTCAAATGCCAGGATTCTAGGCAATTGGCCACATGACTTTTTTAATAGACAACCCCAAGTTGGGGTAACCCAAGGCTGTGTGAGTAACACAGAATCGTGTTCTTGGACTGCAAAGTCTTAACTACAAGGGTGAACTATCTTTCTAAAAAGGGAGAGGAGTTGCCCAGCGAATCTCTGGAGTTCCATTCATGCTCCATAAGCAGTTCTTAGACTTCCTGGGCTCAAGACCCCTTTGTTCTCTGATAAATAATTTGGGATCCCAAATGGCTTTTGCTTATGTGGACGGTACCTACTGATATATAACTATATTTAGAAACTAAAACTGAAAAATTTAAAAACATTTTATTAAAAATAATAATAAGGTCATTATATGTTAATGTACATAATAATTTTTTTAATGAAAAAGAACTCCACTTTCCAAAAAAGAAAATGTGAGAATGTTTCTTACTCCCCCCATCTCCTTAATGGTTCACATAACAGAAGATAGCTGATTATCAGTGTCTACATGCAATCTATTATGATACATTGTTTTAAGTACATGAAGAAAAGTTTTCTCATAGACATGTAGTTAGAAGAGGAAGGAGTATTTTAATAGCTTCTTCAGACAGCTATGCTAATTTTTCTTTGACACTATTCCAAACTGAGACCATGAGTGTTTCTTAGAAATTAGCTGCAATGTGGAATCTGAACTTCTCATTCTCTATTAAAATCCACTGGTGGTCTTGCTCTTTCAATGAATCTTTTACCCATCCACAATTTCCTAACATCATCCTTTGGTCACCTGGAGGATCCTGGTTCCCCACGTTATGCAGATCTTCCAAATGCTAACATCTTTCACTACACAATGTCAAAAAATCACATTCATTAGTATCACCACTGACCTTGCCAAAAACATCGTTAAGTAAAGATGTCAAGCTTATGGGGCTGGATATAAGTTTTTTTTTATTTTCTAATTTTGCTTGAAATCCCAAATTTTATTGTGAGCAACAAATATATATATTATTGATTCTTTTTCTTGAGGCAATGGGCTTATTTCATTCATTTTCAGGAAAATGTCTACCAAGTAAGTACCCAGGTCTAAACCAAGTACCTATAACTTGTTGGTTTCTAGTAAAAATGTGTTTTATGAAAAAAAAAAAGCAGTAAGTTCAGTTAACAACTCACTACTACTGATTTAGTATGTCACAATATTGTAATTTGGGCTTATGTCAGTACAAAAAAATAAAAAATAAAAAAACAACTCCATCACTCGAGGTCTCTGTCCTGAGACAAGTATCATACTTTGGTAAATAGTAGAAGTGCTTCATGTGTTCTTTCCAAGTTGTCACTCAGAATATCACTCATTTTTAAAAATCAGTTATATGTGGGCAGCGCCTGTGGCTCAAAGGAGTAGGACACTGGCCCCATATGCCAGAGGTGGTGGGTTCAAACTCAGCCCTGGCCAAAAACTGGAAAAAAAAAATAATAAAATAAAAATCAGTTATGTGACTATTTCATCTAGGATATTCTTAAGCAAAACTGGCTTTTTGTATGCACATGTGACAGTGAAGAATACAATGATGACTGGTATAATTTAGTACCACTTACCTCAATTCATGCTATAGTGCCTGCAATTTACCCACCACTGCTTCTACATTATCAGTACAAACATGGTGAAAAAGCAAACAACATCTTAGTATTATTATAAAGATAATTTTGACCTCAGAGACTTTTTGAAATGGGCTTGGGAACCCCAAGAGGTCTGTAGAACACATTTTTCAAACAGTTGCACCAAGTCACCTGGAGAAAACTAGCTGTAGTCAGCTGGTATCTCAGCCTGGGGAAGAATCACTGAGGCTGAATCAATAGTATAATATAACTAAGACGGCCAAGAGGAGAAAAATTTGCCCAACGGCATAAAGTGAGGCTGTCTCCAAAGCAGTCAATAGGTTGATAATATCAAGTGTTAGGAAACCACTTTGCTAAACACACCCTCATGGAAATGTTTGGGGTTCCTATTTATATCCCCTAATTAGGGGTTTTTACTGCGCCTTGGACTTCTGGAAGAGCAGTATATGCATGCACGTGTACAATAGAGCAAAAAGTACTTTCATGTACTTTGTTCTTTGGCAAATTAGATAATAGGGTAGGTCAAGAGAGAAACAGAAAAGGAACCCAGCTCAAAAAACTAGCCCTCAGACTTCCTACACAGCAGAGATTCATTAAGATTAACAAGGTTCTTCAAATCGACTTACACATTAATCATACTTGGCATGCTTTCTACATGAATGCTGTTCTAGATCTTATGTCCCAGGCTCAAAATACTCAAACAGACCTCCAAGTCCATCCCAATGAAATACTTTTCCCTATCCCAGGTGTGATGGAACTGCGGTATTCACCATCACCTACAGATGGGCTTTCCTGGTCACCTACCTCTTATCAGTTATCAGGGCCGGAAGGAAACCTCCAAACAAAGTTTACCCCAGAAAAGTCCCAATATAAGTTCAAGGATGGTATCCTCTGATTTGCTCAATTTCCAACAAACAAGGAGAAATAAGTTTGTGTTGACCACTAGTTATAACCCAATATGGAAAAAAGAGAGAGAGAGAGATTCAGCATAGCTAACAGGCATGCATCAGCTTCCACAATTCCAAAACCAATAAGCTACTGTTCTGGAGTTACTAGGTGGTTGGTTTTGAGTTTCAAAGAAGTCTCTAAAAATAATGAAAATCCAGATCCCATCTGGCGCATACGGAATAGACAAGTTGATGCCTGAGAATAAGATGCAGCAAAAACTGGAAGGGAAACTCCAGAGAAGCTTGGAAGAAGCATTTCACAATAGCAGCGTGACCTCTGACAGAAAGCCGTCATGTGCACTGCCACTGGCTGTGTGTGGAGCTTCTGCCTCAGGGCTCCCAGTGGGGTGGATGAGGGTAGAGGAAAAAAGGGAAGGGTCACTGCACTGCGGCCAGCTGTGGTCTAAGCAATCTCTCCCATCAGTTACAAGTGCAAGCAAATGGGGAGTCTAACAAAAGCATGCCACATGAGGAGTGAGCTGCAATCAGCTAGTGGTGGTGAGGGGCCGGGAATGCGGGCAGTCCATGTCTTCTGGTTCTATCCCAGTTCACAGGAGAGCATGCCCTGCCCTAGGAGAATGCAGGCAGTGACAGACTTCAAGAGAAGCGTCCGTGATCCCTTTGACTGGTGACAGGGGATGCTGGAAGTCTAGGACATGATGGTTCCTTCAGTAAGCCACCCAGTAAGTAAAAGTTATAGCTAAACTTGAGGACTAAACTGAGGGCTGCAGAACTGGGATCCAGAGAAACGTCAGCGGTCTGCTGAGGTTGAGGAGTAGCAGGGATAACTCAACAGAGGAGAAGAAAATCCTCCTCTGGATTTTCTAATTCAAGTGGTGAGGACCATATAATCAGCATAGCTTCATGGTGAGATCCTCAATTTTTCTTTGCATTTGGGGAAACTGAGGCCCAAAGAGTGCCAAACTCAGCCGACATGAGTTGTGGGTTTTGCTTTCCAGAGATAAGATTTGTTAAGTACTCCTGTGGGAATGCAAAGGGAATCTTCTCTTCTCTATCAACCCCGGAATTTTTTAAGCGCTGAAGTTATTCTTCCCTCCTCCCACTTCATCAGCCAAATGAACCAGCAATTTGGGACCGGGGTATGGGAGAGACTCTGCAAAGGACTTCCAAAGACTTCCAAATGGGACTTGGAGATTATTTGAGGTTCTAGTACAGATGCTGCACAGTGCTAAATTAAGACAATTAAGAGACTGTCCTTGCTAGAAGCTTTTCTTAAGCCCCAGTCCTTGGGCTTTTGTGGGACAAAGGCAACGAGAAGGAACAAAGAGTAAGAAACGGACTAGAGGGTGGCAGCCGACGCAGCCGACTGATTCCCAGTGCAGGCACTCGCCCAATCTCTTCATTGCTCACTTTCGTCTGGAAAGTGGGGAATTGAAATGGAGAAGAAAAAAAATAAGTCTAGGAACATGCATCCCACCCGAGGAGGGGGCAGAAGCTAAGGGAGACTTACGTTGTGCTGTTGCTTTCCCCAAAGCGCTGGTAGGAGCCAGGAGAGGTGGGATTGCTGAGGCCGTCTGATGGGCTCTCCTCCGGGCTCCCGTCCGTGGAGCTGTAGTCATGGTAGTCTTCGTTTCGAAGTCTCTGCGTGGACATGGCAGCTGGGGGTAAAGGGCCAGCATTAGAACCTTCTGCAGCTGGGGCCTTGAGCTCCATGTCTAGGGTGGGCTCTGGGGCAGGAGCAGTCATTGTTACAGTAGCTCAGTGTGACAGCTGCACTGTGGATTTAGCACCAGGGTGCCTGGTACCAAGGGAAATGGAAAAGTGCAAAGTACACAGGGGCGGGCTGGGTTCACTCAGCTACTGCCGCCCAACCTTCCAGACTGGTGTCGCACTCATAACTTTCTAAATTTGTCAGAGTACACCTGGACAGAGCAGAGGTGAGGTACTGCTCGGGAGGGGTGAGGGAGGGGGAATGCAGAGAAGCCCTTCCAGGAAGCATTCGCATTCCTTAAGTCAGGGTTAATTACCCTGTCCTCTGAGCTTATTTCTCAAAACTTGAGCAATAGTTAAATGGTATATAACTGGTCTTGCCCAAGAACAAACTCTCAGAGTATGGAAATTTTATTTCTCCGATATCTTCTGCCTTCACTAGAGAACCCTGCTGCATTCAAGAAATCTCTGGATCATCCAATTCTGCTCCACTAGATCCCACAGCCACAAACGACCTTCTCTTCTCTCTGCCATGATCTCAGACTATCTTATACTCTCTAGAGGCCATTGGTAGCACTCCTCTCCCTACCTGCTTTCTTTTCTTGCCACCAACCTTACTATTGAAAAACAGTAGCTCAGAGGAAGACCAGGAGCATGAGGGGTATTCACCCCGGCCCCTGTCTCAACATGTCCCCTCTACTATCCTTCTTTCTTATTTTTACGGGTTTGCTCATTTTTTAAAAAATGGTGAAAGAAGAAAAACCTTCCTCATGTGGGCTGGAAGGCTGATGAGGTGGTGTCCCCTAGGGGGGACTTTCTCCGTAATGCTACTAAACAAAAGAGAAGACACACAATAAGGATACATTGGGGAGGGTTGTGTAAGCCCCCAGAATCATAGGGACTATTGCTTAAAGCACCTTCACAGGTCTCTCCAAGCCCCTCGTTTTATAGGTGAAGAATCAACCCCAGAAGATGAAGCGGCCTGCCCTGCTACAGCTAGGTAGTAGCAAAGCAGAAGGCCTAGCTCCTGATGTCCTGCTTGAATCTGGAAACATCTGCCAAATATAGTGCCAGCTTCTTCAAGGGAGTATCACAGCACAATGAGAAAGAGTCAGCTTCTTGCCCTCAAGTGAGAAAAGAAGGTATGTTAACACTAAAAATACCAGTGAAACTCCTCTGACCCTTGGCAGACAGGTACAGCTGCTTGCCTGGGACGCTCTCCTCTGGCAAGTCACTCAACACCCCTCACATCCCCTTAGTCTGATGTGTCTCAGATACGCTGTAAGGAGACAGGACCTCTAACTGCCATCGCAATACCCCATCCTACCCCAACACTCAATGCAAGTTGCCAGAGGACAGCGCTCCCCACAGGTCAGTCCCTGAGAACTCCCAGAAACTGGCCCAACCCTGGCACCAGAGTGATCCATGGGAGATCTCGTTTTCTCCCACAAGCTGAAATGCAGCAAGGACCCCAAGTCATCTCACAAGGAAAGTGCTTTGCATAAAGCCAGGAATGGGCCTGGAATTCCCAGGCCAGATCCTGCCTCACTTAACTGCCAGAGCCACTTGGCTGAAAACCTATGAGGACTTCATTTACTCACATTCTAGAGGAAAACAAGAACGTCTTCAAGATCTGGGGCAACTAAACTTAGGAGAGGGCCAGGAAAAAATAACTTATGAAGTATCTTACCAAGAGCAGTTGAAAACCTCTTGCTATGCAGGTGAAAACTAATAAGTTAATTTATATGTGTGTCAGGAGGCCTGGGTTCGAAGTCTGCCTCTACCACCAGTTTGCTTAGTAAATTTGAACAATTTTTTATTCTTTTTTTTTTTTTTTTGAGACAGAGTCCCACCCTATGCCCCTGAGCAGAGTGCAGTGGCGTCCTAACTCACTGCAACCTCAGACTCAGGCTGTGGGCATCCTGCTGCCTTAGCCTCTGGAAGCGGCTGGGATTACAGGTGCTCGCCACAGCACCCAGCTGGGTTTTTCCATTTTTTTCATGAGTCAGGGTCTCACTCTCGCTCATGTGAGTCTTGAACTCCTGAGCTCAAGCAATTCTCCCTCCTCAGCCTCCCACAGTGCTAAGATTTCAGGTGTGAGCCACCACACCGAGCAATTTTCTTTATTTTTCTAGGATCTTTGTTTCCAAATGTGCCAAAAGGGGAGGGAGGTGTGGACTAAAATATCTCTCAGCTTCACCCTAGTGCTAATACTCTAGCAATCAATAAACATAATTATTTATGCAAGCACCAGCTAATTTCTAATCTCTTCCAACATAACAAAAGCATCTGAGGACTATAGAACCTTCCAAGTGAATCTGTGAGAAAGAAACCTTTAATCTGAGGAATGTAAGCCTCCTTTAAATTAGCAGGCCCAGAATGGTATTAAAAATGGGACACCAGTCATGTCTCACTCCTTCCTTGAGCCAAATAATTACCTTTTGAATCCACTTGCTATGTGGGGTCTAGAAACCAATGCTACATAGCCATAAAATGCCAGACGCCCCACAGTTCATAGCCTATAGTTTTATGGTCTATGTATGCATGGCCAATCACTGTCAATGTCATTTCTGTGAAGCAAGGAGAATTCTTGTCAAACAACTTCGTATCAGCCCATTCCTTGTCTCCTTTTGCCTTTAAAAAACCACCTGTAACAAAGGTGGAAAGAAGCATTCCTCAAGACAATCTGGAAATGTTTTCCCAGGACCTTTGAACGTCTCCCTCGCTTTGGCTCAAGGAAGCCCTTTAAGATTGTATTTTGTGCCTCAGCTTCTTCCTATAGTTCATCACCCACCTGTCCATTACTGAAGGTAAAGGGAAAAAAACATAGGGACTGATGAATTCCCCAGCCCTTCCCCATCAAACAAGAAATCCCATGTTGCTTACCTGGTACACCCACATGCTCAATTTGTTTCTCACACCATTAATTGGCCTCTTTTATGTTGTGTAAAAAAACTAAAGTTACCCACAGCAGAATGTACACTGTTCAGAAAGAAGCTGAAATCCATAAATCCGAAGACCAAAAAACAACAGCAACTTAGCAGTTGCATGGAAGTTGAAAAAAGAAAAAAAAATGCTACTTAGGAGTTTGGGTTGATAAACTCAACAGAAGTCAAAGATATAATTGGGCAGTGCCTGTGGCTCAAAGGAGTAGGGCACCAGCACCATATGCCAGAGGTGGCGGGTTCAAACCCAGCCCCGGCCAAAAACTGCAAAAAAAATAAAAGATATAATAGCAGGCCAGGTGCGGTGGCTCACGCCTGTAATCCTAGCACTCTAGGAGGCCAAAGCACGTGGATCGCTTGAGCTCAGGAGTTTGAGACCAACCTGAGCAAGAGCAAGACCCCAACTCTAAAAACAGAAAAACTAGCTGGGTGTTGTGACAGGTTCCTATAGTCTCAGCTACCCAAGAGGGTGAGGCAAGAGAATTGCCTGAGCCCAAGAGTTTGATATTGCTGTGAGCTGTGATGCCACATCATTCTACCCAGAGCACAGAATGAGACTCTGTCTCCAAAAAAAAAAAAAAAAAGGTATAATAACAATACCAAATAAACTAATACAATTCATGGGTGCATTGGGATGAGAGAGGTGCACAGGTAGAGGACAGCACCACTGAGTTTGCCACACATCTATTCCACTAGGCAGCATACTACAAAGAGAGCAATGACAAATTGCAGTGTATGCAGGGACTGGACTAGGATCAAGAGGGGGTTTGAAACCAACTTAGGGAGGAGTGGTTGGAAGCCCACAGATAAGTTTCAACCTGGCAAACTGTCTTTAAAAGCTGTCATATAGCCCATAGACTTGTTCTTTGGGCCTCAAAGTTCAGGCAGAGCCAGGATCAATAGATGGAAAGTAAAGCCAGGCAGATCTCTGGCTAGACACAACGAAGAACTTTCTGTCAAGGACGGTTATCCAAATGAAACAGATTGCTCTGGAAGAAAGCATACTCCTCATCCCTGAAGAGTCTAAGCAGAGCCCATTCTCAGAGACATCAGAGACATTATGTAAGGATTCAAGCATCAGGGGAGGAGCAGTCACTCCCTGGAGCTCCTGTTCCAGCTCTTTCTGGCAATCAAGGCTTCCTCTTCTTGTTCCCTATCCCCACTGATGCGATTGACCATGGTCACCCCACCTTGGGCTTCCTTTGATGAAACCTGACATCCAAGCCCACTGTTGCAATTGCCAGTTCCTCCCTATAATATATTTTAATAGTCCTTGTTAACTGTCAAAATGAGGGTTGTAATGTGTTAAGGTTAAAGATAAGCTTGCCCTTAGTCTCCTTGAGGATGGTGAACAGAGACATTCATGTTGGGCCCATCAAAACCAGTTCAAAATCTTCTGCAAGGTATTTAGACCCCTAAGAGTGAACTTTTTTTTTTTGAGACAGAGTCTCACTTTGTCACCCTTGATAGAGTGCTGTGCTGTCATAGCTCACAGCAACTTTAAACTCTTGGACTTAAGCAATTCTCTTGCCTCAGCTTCCCAAGTAGCTGGGACTACAGGCAGCCACCGCAACACCTGGCTATTTTCTTAAAGACTGGGTCTTGCTCTTGCTCAGGCTGGTATCAAACCTGTGAACTCAAGCAATCCACCCACCTCAGCCTCCAAAGTGCCAATATTACAGGCATGAGTCACTATGCCCTGCTAAGAATGAACTTCTAAGAAAGTTCTGCATATTTGGTGGGGGGGAGAAAAAAACAAGTGTATAACTTTGTTAACTTTGTATAACCTTGAAATATTTCTACAATTTTCCTTACATAAACTATGTTTTCAGTTATATCAATAGGCAAGATTTGCTCTTTAACCCACAAAATATGCCCTGTTTCAGCTTGGCACTAAAAATGAGCAGATGGAATGACTTTGTGCTGTGGATGTAGCATGGAAAATGTGTCTTAAAATTTAATTTCATTTAAAAAAGATCATGTGTTAAATTTTCTAAAGGTGGGAAATTTTTAAGGGGAACGCGGTGGTCATGTTTTTAAAAGATAAAGCCAGAGATTCTTTTTTTAATTTAAATACATGTGTTTCCATGTAAAACAGTATGGGATTCAGGAGAATATAATATAGCTATCAAAAATCCTGCTTTCCAAGCTCATAGTTGCTTTATTATTTTGGTAGAGAACTGAGAGGATTTGCATCAGATGATTTCTACTACACTTTTACTTCTAAACCTTCAGGATTCCAATTTCCATTTTGTAATGACTGAGTTTGTTCAAAATAAAGGATTGAGACACAGTAGATGGTAACATATTCTGAAGCTGCATCACACCTGCCAGTAACCACTAGCCACAACTGGGCACGAAGTACTTGAAATACAGTTGGGTAAAACTGAAATGTGTACACAGCAGATTTCAACGAACTGGTACAAAAAATTGTGAAATAACTCATGAATTAATAATTTTTATATTGTTCATATGTTGCAATGATAATATCTTGGATATATTGGGTTAATAAACATATGAAATTGAAAAAGGAAAAATGAGAGAGAGACCAAATAGATTTCTGGGCCCAATCTGATTCCATCTGTGCACTTTTTTTTTGAGACAGTCTCATTTTGGCGCCCTCGGTACACAACTCACAGTAACCTCAAACTCTTGGGCTCAAGTAATTCTCTTGCCTCAGCCTCCCAGGTAGATGGGACTACAGGCACTCACCACAATACCTGGCTATTTTTAGAGATAAGTCTTTTGATCTGGCTCAGGCTGGTCTCAAATTTATGAGCTCAGGCAATCCACTCACCTCGGCCTCCCAGAGTGCTAGGATTAAAGCCATGATTACAATGCACCAGGCCCGGCCTGTGCATTTTATTTTTACTAGCTTCTGAGGTGATCCTGATCATAGGCAGATTTATGTAAAGTACTAAAAAGAAAATAAAAGATCTTATTATAGGTACAGCCCAGGCCTCCCCTCCTATCAGAAGATTTCATGCATTGGTAAAACTTGTTTGCAGATTAAAAGTGTTATCCATTATTCTGAAACAATTACATTGAGTTGGACTTTGGAACCCAGAGCAGCAGCAAATTCTCTATATGCATTTTTTGTTCTCTGCTGCTAGAATTATAGGCATGAGCTAGGACATGTGTTGCTATGTGTGGTCTATAGGAGAACTTATACATCACTTGACTTCCACGTGATTTATTTTTGAAATAGCCTTGGGAGGAATCTATCTAACCTACCACCCCACAAAGTGAGACTTCTACCTGAAGGAAGCCGGTGCTGAGCTCAGCACCAGAGGGCAGCTGCTGAGCTCAGCATGAGCAGCTGCTGAACAGGCGAACATGCTCACTTTTTACCCACAATCATAAAGATCTCTAGATCACTAGATGTTAGGACCAGACATGACTTCAGCTCTCCACTTAGGGCTGAGAAAACCCAGATCCATGCAGAAAGATGACTCATCCAGACCCCTGTTGGTCAAGGAAGATTTGGGATTAGAATCCAATAAACTAGATTTCCAGTTCAGCGTTCTTCCTACCATACTATAAATTATCTGCCCCCTCTAAAATCTTTCTGAGAATAAAACTAGTCCTCAAGCCTGGGGCAGGATTAGGTCTGCATAATAAAAGGCATAGTGTTTGGAGCATGGTAGTGTGACTCTGAGTTACGTAACCTCCCTTTGCCTCGGTTTTCCCATCTGAAAGATGCTGTTCATACTACCCTACATCAGAATATTACTATGTAGATTGGAGAAAATAAATAAATAAATGTTAAATATCTTGTCTGACACCTTATGACCCTTATTAACGAACCCTAATTAATGGTAGCAATTGTGATTACTATACTATAATAATCAAGGACAGGAAGTGAGAAAGTTCACTACACAAACTCCTCAGTACTTTCATTTCTTCTACTCTGCAGAGCTAAGCTGGGTCCTTATCTTGTAAATAGTAATACAAATGCCACCAGCATCTCTGTAACCCACATACACAAATTTTCTAACCTTTTGAAAAAAAGAAGCACAGAGACACTTGTCCTACTATAGAGGGTCCTTGAGAACTGGTCCTGGGTATCAAGGCTTCCAAGAGAAATGTTTTGGGAAATAATAGATAGCACCAAATGCAGCATCATGCGGTTCCTATTTGGGCCTATTTACAAAACCCCAGCCATTGGACAGAGGCTACCTTTGTGCTCTCGACCCAGTAAGACATGGCCAGTGGAGGAAAACACAGGATTCCTCCAAGGCCTGGGTTGAAGTAAACAAGATGCTGGCCTAGATGTTATTGGTATAACAGTCATAGACCACCCAAAGTAAAAAACGGAAGACCATTCATTCATCTGACCTTGAAAGGGTATCAAGCATTTAAAGAGGGGAAGTAGGGAGACAGGGTGGGAGGAAGAAGCTGAGGGAGATGATGACACGGAGGGAAAAAGCAGGAGTACTGAACATGAGAACAGGTATCTGAGGCAAGGGGAATAAAGAAGTCAAAAAAGTAGACATCTACTCCATCCATTCTACTCCACGTCTGACATGCTAATAAGTCCAGTCTTAGAATATCACAGAACTTGTGAATTGAAAGAAAACTTAAATCTTTATCTAGGTCCAAACCTCTACCCAACACTATAATTTTACCTACAACATCCCCAAAGTAATCGCCCATCATCTCCAGTGACTGGAGCTCCACAATCTGTGTTCCAATGTGGGAGATCACTAATTCTTTTAAAGTTTTCAAGCTTACCAAACACCACTTCCCTTATAGCGCTTCCAACCATTGGTCCTAATGGTAGCCTCTGGAATATTACAAAACAAATGGAATCCCTCTTCCCTACACAGCTTTTGGAAAAGACATAGACACTTCTGAACACTGAGCTGCCACATGATGAGGCCAAATGAACAGCTATATAGATTAAAGGGAAAATAAGGATTCCGGAACAGGCAATAATAACAACACAATCAGACAACAAAGGGACAGAAATTAAATACTGTTATCAGAACAGCCTCTGCTGCATACAGCCTCCACCCCCAGACATACTCTGAATCTTAAACTCTGCACGAATGACCAAGCCTTTTGTGTCCCTTCACTTCAAGAACATCTTTAAAGAAAATATGTTCTAAACATACAAGTTTATTACTGTAACCTAGGCTCTAGACAACAGCCAACAGAAGGCCCTGATCATGTTCAAAGTAATAAAAGACAGTCGAGATCATTGTCAATATTAGTATTTAGCTTAGACATAATACAGAGACAGAAAGAAAGAAAGAGGATTTCATGGCAAGGTAGCAATAGATTTAAGTACAGGAAACTGCTGTCTGGATAACTGGGTTAAGTCTTGTTGCAAGGTTGATACTTAATGTACATGGGGGTGGGGTGGGGGTGGAATCTCTCTGAATAAAAACCAAAAAGACGTAAATGCAAAGCATCCAAATTGGAGCAAAAGGGGGTGATAGGGATTCAATTCCATCATTGTATAGACTGAGAAATCTAAACACAAGTCACCCAAGGTTGCCAGGTAAGTAGCAGAACTAGAACAAAATCTCCTGATTTATAATCTCTGTTCTCCTTGCACCACGCAGCTATCTTCAGTCAACAAACATCACATGTGAAACATGCATCCAAATAACAGTCTTTACCAAATCTGACAAGTTATAGAAAAAATAAAGCAAAGGTCTTCACATTCTCCAGGGCTCTCCACAACCTCACCTCAGCCACCTATTCTCCCAAGAGCATATTCCAATTCATTTTACATTTGGGCATGACTTACACAGAATTGCAGGGCGGTCAGAAACCAAATCTACAGAACGATGAGTGTGCAGAAAAATCATGCACAAACAGGGAACCACACCCAGAGCCAATCCAACCCAGGCGATGGAGAAAGCACACAGCTAAAAAGGGAGAGGATTAAAACAGAAAGGGACAGGAAAAGGATGTCTTTTCACATGTCAAGTTTCCTGCAGGAGGCAGTGTGCTGAACAGCACACAGCTGCTGGAGCTTTGGAACACTTGGGTTCTAGTCGCAACTAGGCGACTAAATTCATCGGGTGACCTTAGGCAATGCCCTACCCCATCCCGGGCCTCGGTTTCCCCAACTGTCCTAGTAGGGGGCTGCACCAGACGATTTCCCAGAGCCTCTGCAGTTCTGGTACTCTGTGACTCAAAGACCCATTATTAGCATGTCCCGAGCGGAGCTCCCGCAGCAGGCAGTAGACTTTCTGGAAACAGCCTAACCCCATGGGGAAGCGTGGAAGAAGCCATAGCAGGTCGTTTGAGGGATCTTCCCCATCTCGGGACTTCAGTTTCCCCACCTGTCAAATAGGACGGAGAGACCCCAACCCCACGTGGTCAAGGGAGATAGCGCGAGAGACAAGGGACGTCCTCTTCGCCTCATTCGGGAGGAGTGCTCGCATCGTACCGCAGCAGCGACCCGGGGAGCAGAAGAGTCGCGGACCCGCACCCCAGGCCGGGCCAGTGCCTGACCTGGAGCATCTGCTACGGCCGGAGGAGGGCGAGGTGGGTCCTGCCGAAGGCGGTGAGCGCCACCAGCCGGAGCAGGTCAGCGCAGGGACTCACGGCTCTGGTTCGGGTCCCACCTCCGGCGCCGGCTCTGGCTTCAACACAGTCCGCCCTCGCCCCCTTGCTTCAGCACCGACCATTAGCCATCCGCCTAGGCGGCCTCGGCAGCCGCTTCCGGGCCCCTCACGTGATCCAGGCACCCAAGCCGGAGGCCAAGGTCACATGGCTCTGTACTCTGCTGCTCCTCCTCTTGTCTCCCTGGTCGCCAGCTCGGCTCCGCAGCACCACCTGGCCACTTACTGCTGCCACTGCAGGAGGACCGTGCTCTGTGTACTGGGAGTGGAAACTGAGGGGACATTGGTCTTGCTTGGAGCTTGGGCGCAGAATCGAGCGAAGGAAGCTTGTCTCTTGAAATGTGAGCTCATGATATATTGCTAATTTTTAAACTTGCTACGTTTTATTTAATGTGTATCAGTGAGCCTGTATTGCTTTTATAATCAAGAAATACGCATCTTAAAAAAATCTTCTAGCCATATTTTTAGAAGCATACAAAGCCGGACAATTAAGTCTGCAAACTCATCCAAGAAAAACTGCTACATACCACACTGCTGGCTAATCTCTACAGCCACCTTTGACGGCCTCCCCTTGGGAAGCTGTGCACCTAGACCAGGGCCTAGTCCACCTTTCAGAGCACTTTTCCTAGGATGAGTTTGCGAACTTAATCGTCTGGGACGCATATTTGAAATGTTTAAGTAACATTTGAAAGTTGATACCAACATTTCAGTAGGTTTGAGGTGTATGTATTATCTAGACTTCTCCTTTTCCCTTCTCTCTGCAGGGTTTTCTTTTAAAATTGCGTAACAAATAATCTTCAAGTCAAAAATTGTGCCAAGAGACACGGAAGATTATTGTTTCATGATAAAAGGGTCAATTCATCAAGAGAACATACAATTGTAGATATATATGCACCACCACCGGAGTACCTAAATACTACACATACACAACAAATATTAATGAAAATGAAGGGAGAAATAGATAGCAATGCAATAATAATAGAGGACATCAATACCCCACTTTAAACAATAAGGACTACAACCAGACAGAAAATTCATAAGGAAATAATTGGAGTTGAATTGCCCTTTAAACCAAATGAACCTGGCAAGTGTATACAGAACTTTCCATCCAACAGCAGCATAATACATAGTTTTCTGTAACGTACCTGGAACATTCTCAAAGACAGATCAGATTAGGCCATGAAACAAGCCTTAAATTTCAGGAGTTTGAAATAATGTTGGTATTGTTTCAGACCACAATGGTATAAAACTAGAATCGATAACAGGAGGAATATTGCAAAATTCACAAATTTGTGGAAATTAAACAACATGCTTCTAAACAACTATAGGTCAAAGAAGAAATCAAAAGGAATTTTTTTTTTTTTTTTTGCAGTTTTTGGCCGGGGCGGGGTTTGAACCCCCAGCATATGGGGCTGGTGCCCTACTCCTTTGAGCCACAGGCACCACCCCAAAAGGAAAAATTTTTAAATACCTTCAGATAAATGACAATGGAAACACAACATACCAAAACCTATGGGATGAGTCAGAACTAGTTTTAAGAGAGAAGTTTATGGCAATGAATACCTACATTAAAAAAGAAGAAAGACTCCAAATAAATGATTCAGCACTGCACTTCAGGGAACACAAAAAAGAAAAATAAACTAAACTGTAAGTTACCAGAAAAAATAATAATGATCAGAATAGAAATAAATCAAATAGACAACAAAAAAGACAAGATAAAAATAAAAGTTGGGGGGGGGTTGAAAAAAATAAACAAAATTGACAAACCCTTAACTAGACTGAGAAAAAAAGGGAGCACTTAAATAAATAAAAATGTAAGTGAAAATGTTACAACAGATGCCTCAGGGATCATAGGGACTCTGATGAACAATTATGTGCCAACAAATTGGACAGCCCAGAGGAAATGGATAAATTCCTAGGAAAAAAATACAACTTACCAAAATTGAATCAGGAAGAAATTGGAAGCCTGAATAGACCAATAACAAATAAAGAGATTGAAGAAGTAACCAAAAACCTGCCAACACAGAAAATTCTAGAACTAGATAGTTTCACAGCTTCTTTCAATTCTACTAAATATTCAAAGAAGGATTAATATCCATACTTCTTTTTTTTTTTTTTTGAGACAGAATCTCACTATGGTGCCTCAGTAGAGCGCTGTGAAATCACAGCTCACAGCAATCTCAAACTCTTGGGCTTTTAAGTGATTTTCTTGCCTCAGCCTCCCCAGTACCTGGGACTATAGGTGCCTGCCACAATGCCCAGCTATTTTTTTGGTTGTAGTTGTCATTGTTGTTTGGCAGGCCCAGGCTGAGTTTGAACCCACCAGCTGAGGTATATGTGGCTGGTGCCCCAGCAGCTGAGCTACAGGCACTGAGCCTAATAGCCATACTTCTTAAACTCTTCCAAAAAAATAGACCCAGAGCGAATACTTACACACACATTTTATGACTCCAGCATCACCTTGATACCTAACCTGTCAAAGGTATCATAAGAACAAAAGAAAACTACAGGCTGATTTCTCTGATGAACTTTGATGCAAAAATCCTCAATAAATTATTAACAATTCAACAATATCAGAATTCAATCTTCAAAAAGATTATACATCATGACCAAATATAATTTATCCCTGGCTTTCAAAGGTAGCTTAACATACACTAATCAGTCAATATGATAGACAGTGTTAACAGAATGAAAGCTAAAAAAACCACCTAGTTGGTGCCTGTGGCTCAAGTGGCTAAGGTGCCAGCCACATACACTAAGGTGGCGGGTTCAAATCCAGCCAGGGCTCACCAAACAACAATGATGGCTGCAACCAAAAAATAGCCAGGCATTGTGGCAGGCGCCTGTGGTCCCAGCTACTTGGGAGGCAGAGGCAGGAGACTCACTTGAGCCCAGAAGTTGGAGGTTGCTGTGAGCTGTGATGCCACAGCACTCTACCCAGGGTGACAGCTTGAGGCTCTGTCTCAAAAAAAAAAAAACTCACCTAGTTATTTCAGTTAACCCCAAAAAAGCATTTGAAAAGTCCAACATCCTTTCGTTTTTTTTCAACATCCTTTGTTGATAAACATTTTCAATGGTTTAGGTATAGAAAGAAAATTCCTCAACATAATAAATGCCACTTATAAAAACCCACATCTAACATTCTAATCAATGGAGGGAAACTGAAAGTTTTCCACTAAGATCCAGTTCAAGACAATGAGGCCCACTCTTGCCACTTATATTCAACATAGTATTGGCAGTACTAGCAAGAATAATCAGACAGAAAATGATCTAAATCAGAAAGGGAAAAGTAAAATTATCTCTATTTGTAGAGATGACATGATTCTCTATGTGTATTATAATAACAATAATTTAGTAAAGTTGTAGGGTATAAAATCAACATACAAAAAACAGTAGTACAAATAATGGCCTAGCTGAAAAAGAACTCAAGAAAACAATCCCATTTATGATAGCATCAAAAAGTAGTTAGGAATAAATTTGACCAAAGAGGTGAAAGGTCTGTTACACTGAAAACTAGTAAACATCAATGAAAAAAATTGAAGAAGTCACAAATAAATGGAAAGATATCCATTCTATATTTATGGATCAGAAGAATTAATATTGTTAAAATGCCCATACTATCCAAAGCAATATCCAGATTCAACACAATCCTTATCAAAATCCCAATGGCATTCTTCATAGAAACAGAAAAAAATTATTCTAAAATTTGTATGGGATTACTAAAGACCTCAATAGCTAAGACAATTCTGAGAAAGAAAAATAAAGTTGAAGACATCATGCTTCCTAATTTAAAATTATATTACAAAAGCATAATCATCAAAACAGTCTGGCACTTGCACAAAAACAGGCATGTAGGCAAGAATAGGGATCCTGGAAATTCAAATGTATTTGGTCAACTAATTTTTGACAAGGGAAACAAGAGTTCATAGTGGGAAAAGGGCAGTTTCTTCAAAATGCTAGTGAAAGTGGATTTCCACAGGCAAAAGGATAAAATGGGACACTTATCTTATACCACACACACAAAATTAATTCAAAATAGATAAAAGACCTAATGTAGGCTGGGCATGGTAGCTTATGCCTATAATCCTAGCACTTGAGGCCAAGGAGAGTGGATTGCCTGAGCTCACAGGTCCAAGACCAGCCTGAGCCAGAGCAAGACCCCATCTCTAAAAATAGTCAGGCATTGTGGCAGGTGCCTGTAGTCCCAGCTACTCGGGAAGCTAAGGCAAGAGAATCGCTTGAGCTTAAGAGTATGAGTTTACTGTGAGCTATGATGCCATGGCACTCTACCTAGGGAGACAAAGTGAGACTCTGTCTCAAAAAAAAAAAAAAAAAATCTAAAATGCTCTTGGACATTGGCCTTGGCAATGACTTTCTTTTCTTTTCTTTTTTTTTGGGGGGGGGGTCGGAGGGCCGGGTTTGAACCTACCACCTCCAGTATATGGGGCCAGCACTCTACTCCTTTGAGCCACAGGTGCTGCCCCAATGATTTTTTTTTAATATCACACCAAAGCTCAGGTTACAAAAGCAAAAATAAATAAATGAGACTATATCAAACCAAAAAAACTTCTGCACAGCAAAGAAAACAACAAAATTAAGTGGCAGCCTATGCATTTAAGAAATTGCAAACTATGTATCTGATACAGAGTTAATATCCAAAATATATGAAGCACTCATACAACTCAGTGGTAGAAAAATAACCCAGCTAAAAAGTGGGCAAAGGATCTGAGTAGACATTTCTCCAAAGAAGACATAAAAATGGCCAGTGGGTATTTGAAAAGGTGTTCAATATCGTTAATCATAAGGTAACTGCAGATCAGAACCACTATGAGATTTACCATCTCATGTCTCTTAGGATAGCTGTTATCAAAAGATAAAAAATGTTGGCAAGACTGTCAAAAAAAGGGAACCCTAGTACTCTGTTGATGGGAATGTAGATTGGTGCAGCCATTATGAAAAACAGTAGAAAGTTCCTGAAGAAATAAAAAATAAAACTACCTTGACCCAGCAATGCCTCTTCTGGGCACATACCCAAAGGAGATGAAATCGGCACCTTGTGAAGATACCTGCACTACCATG